GAAAATAGTTTCATTAATGTGTGGGGAGGCTGAGGTGTACGTACACCTGAAGAATTCATAAAACCTCCATCCCCCTGCTGCTGCTGCTGCTGCTGCTGCTGGTGCTGCTGCTGCTGGTGTTGCTGGTGTTGCTGCTGCTGCTGCTGCTGCTGCTGCTGCAGTGCTGCAGCAGGGAGGGCTAGTACCCCTCCTGAGGGTCCCAAGAGATTAGCAGCAGCAAGCAAAGCATCTGCGGCGCCTTCATCAATCCCTACGAAGCCAACAGCATCAACTCCTTCGTGCAGCAGCAAAAACAAAACACACCGAAGAATTATTGCCTCCTCTGCTGACAACCCTGCTGCTCCTGCTGCTGCTGCTGCTGCTGCTGCTGCTCCTGCACCTGCTGCTTCCCCTGCTGCTGCTGCTGTTGCTGCAGCAGCAGCAGCAGAGGAAGCAAAGAGTAGTCTCCCCTTCAGGTGTATCGGCACCTCCGGCACCAACACCGCACAGCCGCAACTCTGAGACAGCCGATCAGCGATATAACGCACGCGGGCGTCCCTGAAAAACACAAACCCTAAACCCTAAACCCTAAACCCTAAACCCTAAACCCTAAACTTTAAAACCCTGAGCCGTATAGCCTAAGAACAGTATACCCAAAACCGCAAACCCCACACTTTAAACCCTAAACCCTAAACCTGAAGCCCAAAAAAAACGATAAACCCTAAACCCTAAACCCTAAACCCTAAACCCTAAACCCTAAACCCTAAGCATAGAAGTAGTGATTGTTAGTCGGACCTTGGAGGATATCTGCCTGGAAGGAGGATAACAGCTCTTTTTAACTCTTTGTCTTCATTGTCGTTTGCAGTTAGAGTGGGGTGTACAGAGTAAACAAAAGAAAGAGAAGAGCTGCGAACAGATGAAGGCAGCAAATCAAACAAAGACAGAGACGAAGACGCCGCAGATGAGGGAACATCTACAAGCTTTTGCTGCTCTTGCTGCTCTTGCTGCTGCTGCTGCTGCTGCTCTTGCTGCTGCTGATGGGAGTCTTGATGCTGCTCCACCTGCTGCTGCCGGACTTTCTCCTGCTGCTGCTGTTGCTGCTGGCTCTCTTGCTGTTGCTGCTGTTGCTGCTGGCTCTCTTGCTGTTGCTGCTGCTGCTGCTGCTGTTGCTGCTGCTTGTGTATTTCTGTCTTTAAAGTTAGATGGAGATCTGTCATTAGTTGCGTGGTGCTGTAAGGCCGCCGAATTATTACTGGGGGCTCAGCCTCTGCTGCTGCAGCTGCTGCTGCTGCAGCAGGAAGCCCGATAAACACCTTCCTTCCTGCTGCTGCTTCTGCTTCTGTTGCTGCTGCTGCTGTTGCTCCTCCATCTGCAGCAGCAGCAGCAGCAGCAGTTAGGGGTGTCAGGATATTTGCTGCAGCCTCTACTTCTTTTGGAGTTAAGAAGGAAGGCAAAGAAAAAATGTCTCTGATTAAATCGTCCTGCATGCACAGCCACCCTTCAGGAGAGCTATCAGCAGCAGCAAAACTCCTAAAGAAAGGCAGAGAAGAAGCACCTCCTGCTGCTGCTGCTGCTGCTGTTGCTGCTGCTGCTGTTGCTGCTCCTGTTGCTGCTCCTGCTGATGCTGCTGCTGCTGCTGCTTGTGCAGTTTGTCTTTTGAGGCGTAGAAGTTTATTTCTTAGTTTTTCTTTGTGTATGTTCGTGGGCGTAGATAGTCCCGCTGTTTGCTCTTCTTCTGCATTGTCTAAAACTTCTAACTCAGCATCTAACAAAGAAAGCAGCGACTGTGAAAGCGACAATCTATCTCTTGCTGCTGCTGCTGCTGCTCCTCCTCCTGCTGCTGCTCCTGCTGCTGTTGCTGTTGCTGCTGCTGCTGCTGGTGCTGGCAGCAAACCTGCTGCCTGCAGCAGCGCGTCGAAATCTGCAGCATTCAAACTGCGCACCGCTGCACTCAAAGCCAACTGCGAGTCCACGCTCAGCACTCCTCCGTCTTCAGCTGTATCTTCATCAGCTGTATCTTCATCAGCTGTATCTTCATCAGCTGTATCTTCATCAGCTGTATATACACCTGGCGTATCTACACTCCCAGGTGTATCTACAGCCCCAGGTGTATGTACATCAGCTGTATATACATCAGGTGTATGTACATCAGGTGTATGTACAGATAAATTATGTTTGTGCGGTGTCTGTACAGCTGATTGATTCTCGGGTGTATATTGTGGAGGCGGTGTATCTCCACCGGGTGTACGTACACTGCAATTTCTTTTGTTTAATTGCAGCACTTTGTTAATTTCTTTTTTTCTTTCTGAGTTTAAATTTAGAGGCGAGATAAACAAAAAGCTTCGCCTCGCCAAGCACGGTAAGCCTAAGGGATAGAACATACAAAAAGCAGCAGCACAACGGCTCTTGCTGCTGAGATGCTGCTGCTGCTGCAGCTGCTGCTGCTGCTGCTGCTGCAGCTGTTGCTGCTGCTGCAGCCGGTGCTGCTTTCTTTGGTTTGGTCTCCAAGCAGTGGCAGGAGGGAAACAAGAAAGGAGAAGAAAAAAAAGAATAAACAAATAAATGAATCTAAGGTGTCTAGATGAAGCTTCTTCGCCCGTCTTCTTGTATATCATCACCTCTTTCTTTAACTCTTTATTTATTATCTTTTAATTTATTTTTAAATTTATTTCTTTATTTATTTCTTTATCTCTTTTTTCTCTTTCTTTTTCTCCTTCTTTTTCTGTTTGTGTATACCCGGAGCCGCTACATTGTGGAGGTGAAGCAGCAGAAGCACATGAAGAAAAAACCTCTAAAATCAAACTATTTGAAACATTAAACAGAAACAAATGCAGAAAATTTCTATAAATATAATATTTCGTCTTCAAAGCATAAATTGGAGGGGGCCCCCCAAGGGGCCCCCGGGTGATGGGGGGCCCCTTGGGGGGTTTATGCTGCGGGTGTTGGTGATGGTTTGTTGATTAATTTAGCGCAATTATTTATTTAAATTAATGTAATTAATTAAAATTAATTTTTAAAATTAAATTTGTTGATTTTTAATAATTTATTTGACTACTTTTTCTCCTCTTTATGCGCCGGTCGGCGGTGGGTCTTAGAGTAGCTGCCTCGATTCAATATTTTCTTGTTTTCATATTTGAGGTCTCCATTATATTTCTTCTTCTTTTGTTTATAAATATAAACTGCATTTATATTCTTGAAAAGAAATTATCTGAAAAAGTATTTCTGCTTTTTATTGCATTTATCAACATGCAATATGTTAGTAATACAGAAACATCATTCTGCAGCTCAGTAAACACCGCTTTTCTATTAATAATTGGTATTTATGTATTGATGACTTTAATTGTTTTAATAAAAGCCCATATTTTAACCAATTTTACTTTTAATATCCTAAGCAGTCTTTGAATTATTTTTTCTGCACAGCGATTGACTTGCGAGAACGGGTGAAAAAATTTGTTTTTTGTATACACTTAAAGTAATAATAAGAACAATAATAATATTAATAATATTTTTGCTCGTAGTATAATTATTACTATTATTATTCTTTAAATTCTTCTTCAAGCGTTGAACCCGATGGACGTTTCCTGCATATAGTCAATTGGGGTGTCTGTACACCCCATCGCAGCGAGCAGTTTCGAAGCGGTTGATTAAAGAGTGGAAAGCCGAGTAAAAAGGCAATAAATGCAGGTAAACTTGGAGAAAAAGAGAAGGTTTTGCATTTTATTGCCTTTCTGTTCAAAAGATTTTCCTCGGAAACTCTATTTAAGCCTGCTTTCCCCCTAATCGGCTGCCTCTGGCAGATTGAATGACGATGGAGCCGCATCGGTCTTCACTTGCAGGATATTCTACGCCTCCTAGGAATCTAATGGAGTGAGAGGCATTTGAATTCATGTTTTTCTTTGTTTGTTTCATACATTTCCCTCTGAAATGCAACATTTTACTTACTTTTCTTCGTCTTCTTCCAGATACACCCGCAGCGGAGATCTGGTAGAACGCCTGGCGCTGCGCCCATTTTGCTGCAAAAGTTTCCAGCTGTTGATGCACTCGAGGTGTCTCATGAGTCGAACGTCTTTGCTGTCTGCCGCAGACACGCAACTGCTGCAGTGAGTGCAGAGAAGAAGGGAGACAGGAAAGACAAAGCCTATGCATGCCTCGCTTAATCTTCAACTCTCTGTAGACAACTGGAGAAAGCGGTCCATTTGATGATTTCTTTCGGCTGCACCTCAGCTGAAATTATTCAAATTGTTGCAGGTAAGCGCGAAAGAGTCTCTAGAATACTAATAACAGTATCTGTCTTATTGGTGATAGTATTTGTATATCTATATATATATATATATATATATATATATGTATATATATATATATATATATAAACTCCTTAACTGCACGTGTTGTACTGTTCCAGTAGATTCTGCTGCTGCGTTCATGCTGCTGCTGCTCCTGTTGCTGGTACTGCTGCTGCTTTGTTGCTGCTTTTGCTGCTTCGTTGCTGCAGTTGCTGCTGCATGCATTTTTATTTCTTTTTTTTTCAGAGTGCACTTGTCTGGTGGATAAGTTGGTGTTATCTCCTCATCGGACTCAGCTATTTGACGATCAGGTGTTATATTATTGTTTGTTTTCTTTGATTGAAGCAAAATTGTACTTGAATTAACCTCCTTTAAATGCATGCAGGAGTGGATATACGTTGTTTTAATTTGTTTAATGATTACCTTCATGAAGCTGAAGCAAATATGTCGTAAGCCCCATCAAAAGAAAGCAGATAAACAACTAAATAAATAAATAAATAAATAAATAAATAAATAAACAAATAAATAAATAAATAAATAAACAAATTCTTCCTTATAAACCACCTTCTCTCTCCTCTTCTAGATGAAAGAAAAGATGCAGTCAAACAAAGTTGGTATACAACAATATTCAACGAGTACTGCTCCTGCAAAGAACTCGAGGAGGCACTACGAGCAGTAGGGCTGCTGCTGCTGCTGCTGTTGCTGCTGCTGCTGCTGCTGTTGCACCTGCTGCTGCTG